TGACATGCTTTTCTTTTATCCTGTACTATTTTATCTCTATTGTTTGTCTGTGTTTCGATTGCTTACGTTTTCTCTTATAGTTTTTAGCAACTGCACAGTTAGAGCTTTTTGCCCTTCCATTATTTATTTAACCCATGACTCTCAATTAAATTATTAACTTATTAACCATCATCATTAATTTATTGTATCAATGTCCCGCACGTCACGAAAGTACGCAAGAAACGGCCGAAGACGCTTTTCTAAGACAGTTTTTTTCTCTGTGGTGGTGAGAGCATATGCTGATGAAGCCTAGAGGCTAGGAAGAAAGATTTGGCAACGGGGGCCTGAGGTGAGAGAGAGAGAGAGGGAAAGATGGCAGACATCAGTATATTTGTACTCATGTACATTATTGCAGAGAGGAGACATATCTAATAGGCGGAGTTGGTGCAAACGACCCCCCCAACGCCTTTATCTGGCAACAGAGAACTTCGAATGAAGCACAGTTTCTGTGTTTTCTGACCATCCTCTCTGCAATAGGGGTCGTTCTACCCAGCTAAGGGTGCAAATCGCCCTCGTGTGAATAAAAAACTTGCAAAAAATTGAATGATTCAACGAACCCGATTCCTGCGCCAATGTCGACGACGTCCTTGTTCGTTAAATGAGGTAGACTGGAGAGGATATCTGCCCTAAATAAACATGCTCGTCGGATGTTTTAATGAAAGAAAAGATTTTTATCCTTTTAATCGCCTTTCGACTCCACAAATAGGCACTTGTGCCAGTTGCAGGATGTTTTGCTTCAAGCTCACACCAGGTTGATAACCAACTTCATTGGCCGTCGTTTCGACGAGATCGCCTTCTTCAGAGAATAAAAGAGTCGCAGCTATTCGTGACTACTAAACCAAACGTCTCTACAACCTCACTGAAGTTCGAGATCAGTCACAGGTGTGCAGGTCACACATAGCCATGGACACTCACCGTGACATAGCCCGATACTCAAGGCCACCCTCAAGACGGCAGTAGGGACGCGCACATTGTTACTCATCGAGAAGCACTCATGGAAAGCCATTCAGTAAGAAGTCTCAGCGAGTAAGGAAAAGTCTGAAGTGTTACTACTGCAGACATGAATATGGTCTCGAGGACTGTAAAGAGTTACAGTAAGTGGCCCGTTCTAGTATTGCACTCTAATTCGTTGCGGACGGTTGTCAGGCAGTACGTCACGATGTCAAAGCGGTTCTCTGCTTTCCTGTTGAAGCGGGCATGAGACAAAAAGTAGGTAGAAAAACGAGTAATGCGAAGGATGTGATACAGTATTGTCACTTGCCCGCTTCAACAACTGGTGGAGAACGAGTTTGGCACCGCGCCAAACGCAGCCGCACTGACACGCCCAACCGTACGCAGCGAACTGCACTATATGTGATGACCTGCATTCATCTCGAACTTCATTAGGGTGGTGGAGACGCTAGTTCTGGTCATGAAGAATTGGTCTGAACCTTTCAGAACCTGAAGTAAGCGATCCCGCCTAGTCGTTGGCCAGTAAAGTTGATTTAACACCTCTTGTGAAGTTGAAGTAATGCACCTTGAAAAGTTTTTATCCTTTTACCGATCCTTGTCCTGCGCCAATTGAACGTGTGGGCATTCCCATTAAAAAACGCATCGCAACCGCACGCCCAGGATGGGTTTGGCGGGTTTGACGCGGCTTCGGCCCCTTCCTTTTTTTTTTCTTTCGGCAAGCAGCAAGATGCATCATGCAGTCCAACCAATCGGTTTTCTTCGACTTCTGTTGCTGCTTAACGGTCTCAATAAAAGGTAAAGAACGGCCGCCGGCGCGCCGAACTGAAGCTTACCGACACGCCCCGTCATCCACAGCGAACAATACTGTAGGAGGTAGAGGAAGCCCTTGCCGTTTTCTTGGGGAAGCCCCTTGGCGTTCCCACGGATTTTGAAAGGACAAAGTTGAGATGAGAAGTATTTAAGGAACCTGTCGCTGGCTTCGAGATCATGCGCAGTGTGATTAAGCATCATCGAGTTGCTGTCTGGCTTGTCTGAGTACTTGTCCCAGAACGTCTTGAACGAGTCCCGTCGCACCTCAGCAGCCATTTCCCTAAAAATTCAGTTTGAGGGTCAAGTCAGCTCACTTTTCTTTAATATGAAACGATGGCACGAGATGAAGTACAAAAAAAGACGGGGGAATGGATGAAAAATAAAAACGGGAACGTAAAACAGACAAAAGGAAAATTAATAGCCCGAGCCAATCAAGCATAGCTTGTTTTCAGAAAAAAATAAAATTGGGGAGGTAAAATTATACGTCCCAACATCTCATCTTCTACATATGTCTAAGATGCGGTTCAATATACACTAAATTTTCTAGGAGAGCCCCAAAGGGAGTCGCATGCATGGCCTATCTCGGAATGTTCGGTCCTCGGCAACAAAAAATTTAAAGAGGGAGGGGGGGGGGGACACCACTTCTAGAGAGATGCAAACGTAGCGACCGGGTCGTCTTACCTCTTTCTGGCCAAGTCGCCGTAAACTGGTATTGCTGCGTGGCCCCTAATTGTATTCGCTTATGCTGCAGGCGTGGGGCGTGTCAGGGGCGGAGAGGTTGCTTCTGACGTGGCGCCTGAGTGCTTTCCACCAGTTGTTGTCACTTGCTGGCTTCAGCAATTGAGTTGGCGCTGCGCCAAACATAGCCCTCTAACCCGCCCACAAATCTTCAGGAAAAACGACAGTACGTCACTGCCTCGCTTTCTACAGGTAAGTTATCTTCAGGAAGCAGAGTCGCAGATAAGCATTGTACAGAGGCAAATACGAACTCTGAGTTCGTCTCAACTCGAAATGACAACCGCGGTACAGCACAAGTCGAGTAGGATTTTAACAGAACTGAGAGAAGGTATTTGTCTGGTAGGACGCCAAATGAAAGTAGCGCCCTTTCAGCTTTAGTCACAAGGCAGGAATGACGAATCGCTGGTGCTCGCATTACAAATGTGGGCTGATGTTTATCCATCAACGCCGTAAGCAGTTTCGCAATAGTGCTACAGCACTAGAAATGAATTTTCCCGCCAAGCACTGCTCATTCATTTGTTTTTCTCTTTTTTCCCTTTTATTTTTCCTTTTCCCAGCACAGAAGAACTCAAGGTATAGGTCCACTTTAACCTTGCGGTGTACACACATTCTACTGTCTCTTGTAACCAGGTGTGTAGCAAAACAACCGTAAAAGCGCCGCGCGCGGGAAATTGTGCGGCAATTTCATACTGACGCCTACCAAACCCAGGTATTACTATTTCAGCACTGATTTGCAACGGATCCACGACTGCGTTTTAACAGTTGTGTGCTTGCTTCATTTTTATCCTCAAGAAGTCCAGGGTCAAGCCCACATCGCGGAATTCGCGACGGAGGGGGAGGGTCACATTTCTAGAGGTCAGTGCAGAACACAGCAGCGACGCAGCTTGCAGGATGGAACAAATCAGAGAAAAAACTCAATAAATGATAAATTATGCTTTTTCAGGAGGACAGACCGCTCTGTCTCCCAACTCTTGCCTTCGCGGACTTACAGAATTGCTAGAAGCCTCAAGGTACACTGGCTGCTCTTCTGTGCTCCGGTGCGGAGCGCGCTCTGCGACGATACTTCTGCCTGGGGATACCTAACATGTTTAAAGGTGCAGGTGGATGAGCAGTGTAGCTTTAGGCTTGTGCTTTCCATAAAACCACAAGGAAAGATTAGACTGCAAACCTGTTTTTTTTCAAATCCACTCTCTTATAAATCAGGGCACCTCGTTGTTGGGGAATCCCCAACAGAGGGGAGGGGGTGTCGTATTTAGCCTCTGGAGGGAGGTCGTATTCGGGCCGGAGAAATTCATTTCAATAGTTGATTTTTTAGTCGGCTTCACGGAGTTGTAAAGGGGGAGGTTGTACTTGCTCGTTGTTGGGGGTGGGGTCGTATTTCAGTGTCTGGTCTTCTGAGAGACATGGTTGCTTTTCCGTTTCATGTGTTACTATATTCCCGCCCCCCCTTCCCCCGCGTCGCGCTCGACACCTCGATGAGGAGGGAGAGAGCCCTGCTATAAATGTCACTCTCGTTCGGTCATGAAGTCGAGTACATGGTGCATTTCATGGAGGTGTTGATCAGCACCTCTGTGCTTCGTTCCTGTTCAGCTCAGGGCACATCGGTGTTGGGGAATCCTAATAGGGGGGGGGGTCGTATTTGGTCGCCAGGAGAGAGGGGGTCGTATTTGGGCTGGGAAAAATTTATTTTGATAGTTGATTTTTCTCGCTTCATGGACGTTGTAAAGGGGGGGGGTCGTACCAACCCCTAAAAAGGAGGAGGAGGGGTCGTACAGACCCGACTAAAATCCCCAACCAATGATGTGCCCTGGTTTAGCTCATGAGGAGGTGTACAGAAAGCTTTCCGTGCTTTCTAAATAGAGATATCGTCTTTTGAGGGGGATCGTCATAGTGCAGCCCTCTTCTAGAGCAAAATCCGCGACGGGCGAAACTTCGCTACAGTTAAGCTACAGCAAAGCTACTATGCTCGTTGGAAAAAGAGAGCGCTCTTGTTTTCCGAACCACGGAAGTTTCCTCTCTGCGTTCTCTCTGGACGAGGTCATAAATTGAAAGTGAAAGAACTCGCGTTCGCCAAAAATTTTCCGCGTTGCTTTGCAGTCTCAAACCACCATGCAAGCTTGATGAAAGCTGTAGTGGATTTCGTATCGGTCTTGCAAAGATACCAGGAATCCTTCTTATCGCTCTGCGAAAGATCGTTTTTTTAACGATAGTACACACTTGTAAAAATCAAGTGTGAAAGCAAGGGTCTGATAGCGCTCCAATTCAGTACGCGACGCGCCGCAGTACGATCAGTGCCTCGACTTTTCGTTTATACTTTAAGGTTCTCTTCCATCACTGCGATCATCACGCGATCTCGATTCCGAAAGCGGTTCCCGAGTAGGAAATGCACTAGTTCTGATGTTCTCCTTATGAGATTGTCTCCTCGAATATCTATTGAATTGCCGGCTCTTTTTACGGCCTCTTTCTTCTCTTTCTATTCTCTTTGATTCAGGCTGATATGGTTTCGTTGCAAGTCTGCAATGAATTTCGCTTTTGGAAACCGGGACGGGGGAGGTCTTACGGACACCCCTTTTCGCCCGATTTTCCACGATGTAACGCTTGACCCTGTTTCCAGCCGTGTGTCCCCCACACTTCATCACCTACAGCTGCAATTCCACACAAACTTCAGCTAAGATACCAGTTCGATGTTTATGGGTGTTATCACTATCCTGTAATCACGACAGAATTAGTAAACAAGTTGCAGCCTTCCCAATTTTCATAGAGGTCGTTCCCAGTCCACTTCTCCGCACCTGTATAAGAGCCCCTTGATGGGCCTTTATTAAGGGTTACGGGCCTACATATCAACAGGGCGACAGACCGACTTGGAGACCCACGCTTGCACACACCTTTTGTGATTTGTGCAATAGAGCGATTGCACCTTTCCGATACAATCTCCTTACACAGCTGACCGACCACACTGATATTCTGCTGTCGAGTAAAGAAGGAAAGTAGGCGCCTCTCCGGGACAGCTGAGCGAATTCTGCGCGTGACATGTGGGCGGTTATGACCCGTCTCTCGCACTCGGTCAACCTTCCCTGAGATCAAACCACACCGCCCATTTTTCCCTCAGTTGGGCTTTATCACCTACATAAAGTCAAAAGCCAGGTCGACACCCGCCCAGGCCAACCAAGCCTTCTACCCTCCGGGGACGGTAAATTGGTACCAGATCCGCAAGTCATTGTATAGGCCACATCGCATTCAATAAGCCACTACGATTCTGAATGGAAGTAGAATGCGTGCCGCATCCCACAAAGGGATTGATCAACGGCGAAGACTTTATCCTTTATCCTTTTTAAAGTCAAAAAAAGTCAGAAAACTGATATACTCTAGGAAATTTCACAAGTAAAGAGTGGGTACCTTTGCATCCTGATGGAATTTCGATTGTGATGAATATAAGCAATCAAGATCGAATATTAAACTGACGGACGAGGGTTATACAGGTGTGGATACCGCAAACTACAGGAGTAAAATGAGTCATGCTCTCATGCTGATCATTCGATGATAGAGGGTGATAAGTTAGTGGATCTCCTTTCGTTTTTTCTGCTGCAACTTGCGGAAGAGCCGAAGGTGATACAGTGGCAAGAACCGTCACTACTGCAAATAATGTCAGGGAGTTTCATCTCGAATGAAATTCCGGTTCATGTCGAGCTAATTTTCAACGCTAGAGCCAGAAGGTGTGCTTCAGTTCTAAGGCTCAGTAGAAACCTTACCTTGATAAGTTTGGTCCTCGACGCAATGTCCAGTCAAGAAGGCTTCAGTAAAAGTGCATTGTGATTCAAATATCACCAGTGCGAGTCGCATCTCAAAAAGTGCTGACCAAACGGGAGAGCGGACAGAAAGAACTTGTATTTTTCGGCTTCCACTGCGCGCGACATTTTTTCAATAAGGCTGTCGATTGGAGCCGGACTTCAACGTAACCCCATCATCGTGGACAATCATGAGCGCTTTCTGTTCTGTCTGCTGTTGTTGCCATGTGTCTACGTGGGACCACATTGGTCATTTGTGGCGCATTTGCTGGCGCGACGTCAGCAGCGACGCGCCGCCAAGCGCGCCTGAATTAACGATTTTCGTTGTCAACATCACGCCCTGAGTCAAACAGAGCACAAAATGTTCTCACAATTACGTTTGTTTGCGATTCTGTGAACTTTAAGACTTTACGATGTGCATTCGCCATTATATGTACCGAACCCTGTTATATAATCTTTCGCCACTCAGAAGTGTGACGGCGAATGTGAGGCGAAAACTCGCAGGGTCTTTGCTAAGCTGTACTAAAAAATCCACTCTCCTCCTTTCTCTAAAAGTTAATACAACGAAGACAGTTAACAGAGTTCTAGTCAGAAATGTGTTCAATGGTTTCTTTTGTGTCTGTTTTTTCAACTCATAAGTCAATAGGCAACTGTCTACGGTTTTGCCTTCTCGCAAAATAATGCATTGAGAAATTATCGGAAAGTCCACTAAAGACTCCGTTAGCTGTGAGCTTGAGCAGGTAGTGGTGTCCT